TGCAGGGGGGAAGGGCCCAGGCCATCAGTTGCCAGGAGACAGAGTGTGAGTGATTTATGTGCACTGGCCCTCTCAGGCTCTGCAACTATCACACCCCCTTATCCCACCACCTAGAAACTCCAGAAATGCATAGGGGAAACTGAGGCTCCCACACAGTATTCAGAGGAAACATTAAGAATAGTCCCACTTCGTCACACTCTGGCTGACTGCCCATGATGCACCAGCGAGGTCACCCCCACCCCTGGCCTGGGTCTGGGATGGGCAGCTCCGTCCGGGTCGGAGGGGACGGCAAGGAACCGGCACAGGGCTGTTCCCACTGGGCGTCCGGTGGTACCAAGCATTGAAAACCCTCCTGTCAGGCTGGATCCTGGGACAGACCTGGGAGCCGGAGCGTCGCTCTCCCTTCGAACCACAGCCGAGAGTCTCCCAAAAATCACAGGGCTCCGGGAGCCAGAGCCTCAGGGAGGAACCAATAACTGTGAGACTTGACGCCGGGGAGAGGGACCCTCTGCCGGAGTCCAGAAGACGACCGCCCGCCTCCGCAGCTCTGAGGGGGAAAGGGCAAAGGACCCTTCCCACGACACCGCAGGACCCTTCCCACAACCTCACAAGGTGGCAACACCAGCACCCTTGCCCCAGTCCCACAGGACAGCAGCCCCAATCCTGCATGTAGGAGCAGGGACACATGGTAACGCGCTCTCTGTTCCCTGCACAGAAATCCTGCCCAAGCCCATGGTGATGCCAAACCAAACCCTGGTGCTGGAGAACGGGACCTTCACCCTCACGTGTAACAGCTCCCCCAGCGCCGACACCGTGCTCTGGCTCCGGGACGGGGCGTCCCTCATGCCCAGTGAGCGGCTGGTGCTGTCCCCTGACAACCGGACCCTCACGGTGCTGGGTGTCACCCGGGGCAATGCTGGCCCCTACCAGTGCGAGGTCGGGAACCCCATCAGCACCAACCGCAGCGAGCCCAGCACCGTGACGGTGGCCTATGAGTAATTGCAGCCCCGTCCCCCGGCCGCGCTGCCCCTGGTCCTGCCAGCATCACCCAGCCACAGAGATGCAGCTGCCTCTGGGGTGGGGCAGGGTTCTGGTTAAACAGGGACCCCTCGCTGGCGCCATCCATCCCCTGACCCTGTCCCTCTCTCTGTAGATGGGCTGGACTCTGCCCAGATAGACCCACCAGGATCCATCGCCCTGACTCTCGGGTCGCTTCTGACCCTGACGTGTGTCGCCGACTCCATCCCAGCCTCGAGCTACCGCTGGGTTCTCAACGGCACCGACACTAAGGAGACCGGGAGCAGCTTGACCTTTAACTCCATTACTCAGGATCACCAGGGCACATACACGTGCCAGACTCACAACCCCATCACCGGCCGCACTGCCTGGGCGTCTGTCGCCGTGTGGGTGACAGGGACGGGTGAGTCCCCGGGATGGAGCAATGCACTGCAGACACAGGGATCCCAGTGCTGGCACCAACGGCCCAGTGCGGTGCTAGGCGGTTCCTGGCTGCAGGGAGCCGGGTGGGGGGATTGTGGCTGAACGTCTGATCCGACCTCCCCCCCCATCTCTCCTCCAGACGCCCCTCGTCCAGCTCTCTCTGCCGGGGCCGTCGCCGGGATCGTCATCGGGTCACTAGCGGGGGCAGCGCTGGTCGGAGTCATGGTCTATTTCCTCTGTGAGTAACAGCCCCCCCATCCCGGGAGAGCCAGGACTCCTGGGTTCTCTCCTGGCACCGGGAGGGGAGTGGGGTCTAGTGGTTAGAGCAGGGGGGGCTGGAAGCCAAGGCCCCAATTCCAGCGTCTCTGATTCCTCCCAGACTCTCGCTGCCGGAACGAGACCCCCAAGGAGAACGAGGCACCTGTCCTGGTGTACGAGAACCTGCCCCCTACATCTTGAGCGGGGCCAGTGGTGAGTGACAAGGGCTCAGCCCCACCCCCCGCTATTCCAGTCCCACCCCCTCCTCTGTGGGTCCACTCAGTCTGGACCCGCAGCCCCCAGCCAGTTTACCCTGTCCCCTTTGGGCGGGGGAGGGGGGGTTACACAAACCCGGGGTCCCATTGACTGTCCCAGGGTCCCCCCCCCTGAGCTTGGCTGGGGACCTGGGGGGTCTCTGGGGTCTGGTGCTAACAACCCTCTTGCCTCTGTCTCCCCCAGGCCCAGCCCAGGAGCCCCCCTGACCCCAGCCCCACGTACCAGGTGAGCACCGGCCCCTTGCGCTGTATCCTCCCCCTGAGGAGGGTTTGGACCCAGTGGGGGAAGGGGGGAGCTGCCCCCCCCAAGCCCTATGGCTGAGAACGGGGCTGGTTATCACATCCCAGAGCGGGGGGGGGGGCAGAGTGAGCCAGAGGGGGACCAGCCGGGAGCCCCAGGGTTGAGGGGAGGGGCTGGGAGGGACCAGCACTGGGGGGGAGGGAGGGCCCCCCAGGATGTGAGGGGCTGTCGTGGCCCCCTGGGGCATCTCTGGCTGAATCGTCCCCGTTTCCCCCAGACTCTGCAGCCCCGACAGCCGGACGTGTACGAGGAGCTGAAGAAGTGACGCCCCCTCCTGCCCCTGGTGCATGCTGGGAGGGGCCCGGGGCATGCTGGGAAAGGCATGTCCCTGAGCCTGGGTCCCGCCGCCCCGGGGACGTCCCGTCGATGAAGCGTTAAAGGGCAGGAACAGTCACCGCCCGGCCTGGGGGGTCCGTCCGTCCGTCTGTCCATGCTGCTTCCCTGGGGCTCATCACTGCAGCATCTGGGCCTCTGCGAGGAAATCAGAAAGTCGGCGCCTGTGAGTGACTCCGGCTCCGTTGTGCCCAGCACAAGATTTGGGAGCCCACCTGTGACGAAGTGGGACTGTTCTTAATGTTTCCTCTGAATACTGTGTGGGTGCCTCAGTTTCCCCTATTCAGTTCTTAAGTCTCTAGGGGGTGGGATTGTTGCAGAGAAAAGGGCCAGTGCACATCAAGGGCCGACACTCTGTCTCCTGGCAACTATGGGCCGGGGCCCTTCCCCCCCCCCCCCTGCAAGGAGATAGCTAAAGGTCAGGTGACCTCCTGGCCCGGGAAAGGAACAAAGTCCAGAGGAGGAGGGGCTGGAGGGGGTTTCAGTTTGTAGCTGGCTGGGGACGGGAAGTGAGGGCGGACGGGGGTGTCTGGCTCACTGCCCTCCCAGAATGGACCCGGCTGAGGGATCCGGTTCTCTGGACCTACAAGCTCTGTTTTAGACCGTGTTCCTGTCATCTAATAAACCTTCTGTGTTCCCGGCTGGCTGAGAGTCACGTCTGACTGCGAAGTGGGGGTGCAGGACCCTCTGGCTTCCCCAGGACCCCGCCTGGGCGGACTCGCTGTGGGAAGCGTACAGAGGGGCATATGCTGAATGCTCCGAGGTCAGACCCAGGAGGTGAAGCCGTGTGAGCTTCTTGCCCTGAAGATAGTCTGCTTACAGAGAGGAGACTTCACCAGAGTCCTGACTGGCTTTGTGGGGAGCAGTTCCAGAGCATCGCCCGGGGACTCCGTGACACCTCCCCCCCCCAGGGGATGTGTATCCCAGGACAAGCCCAGTCATGCCAGGCTCTGGGTCCCAGCACAGCCTCCTTCACGCCCTGCCGGGCACCAGGGATCCACCCGCCTGCCAGGGACGGGACATGGGGCAGAACTGCGCCCCCCCGGGGACGGCCCCACAATAGTCAGCAGGTGGAAGGGGCTGGTCCTGACCATGGGCGCCAGGTTTGTATAATTTTTGGTTGTGCCCAGTGTCGTGGAAATTCCTGTCCGTTCCGGCTGAGGAATAAGGAGAGACGGACACAGCTAGCCAAGCAAGGAGCCCGGGGAGGGGCGATCCGTTTATTTCAATTGCAATTGGGGTCGAGCTCATAAGTCAGCAAGAACAAAGAAAACACTTACACCAAAGCATTATATGCAGTTGACTATGATAATCTATCAGTCTATGATTGGCCAAAATTTGCTATCATTACCATACATAATTAGCAAGCTATATGTATCTGCCCCTCTTATGACCCCTTATTGTTCATCTCCTTGCTCCCCTCTTGCGTTATTTTGCAAACCAAGCAGTTAGGTATCTAGAGGACGCAGGCACAGAAAGTCCCATTGTCTCCAGGTTTGGAGTTTGGCTACATTTCCTCTCGAAGGAACTTCCTGAGTTAAGACTCTCCATAGCTAACGCTGCATATCTCCCTTCTACTTTCTCCCATGTGTACGTGACAAATTTGCCCCTTGGCAGTTAAGTAGAATAATTTTATTTCACCAGAAATGGTCCAGGGCTGTCCCTACCCATACACAAAGTACGCAGCTGAGTAGCGCACCAGGAAATTTGGGGCTCTGCCGGCTTGTGCTGGGGGGCGGTTTCCTTCTGCCCCCATGCTGAGGCCTGGGGCCCCACACAGCTCCCCCATGGGGGGGGGGCTGCGCAGGGCGCCAAAATGGCTAGGGATGGCCCAGAACGGGGCCAACCACGGCAGGTAAGTTCCAGTAGAAACCCCTTATGATCTCATAGCAAATCTGACTAAATTGTTGTCACGGAGTATTGGGGGACTCAGGGCCCTGCACCCCCGGCGTCCTGCGATTCACCATGACTCTCAGCCAGCCAGTAAAGCAGAAGGTTTATTTAGACGACAGGAACACAGTCCAAGACAGGTCTTGCAGGCACAGACAACAGGACCCCCCTTAGTTAGGTCCATCTTGGGGTCCCAGGGCGCCCCAGCCCCCTGGGGAGGTCAGAGTCCCGTCTGCCTCCCAGCCATGTCACCAGCCAGCTTCTGAAACCCCTCCTTCAGCGACCCCTCCCACAGCCTTTGTTCAGGTTCCCGGGCAAAGGTGTTACCTCGCCTTTAACCCCTTCCTGGGTTCTCATGTTACATGCTCAGGTATTCTCCGTCGGTCAGTCTCCCATCCCCCAATGCAGACCATCCTAGCCACACTCCCCTGTCAGCATTCAAAGCTCACAGTAAGAACAGTCCCAGTTTGTCACAATTGTCCAGAGTCAAATGATTAAAATCAGATTGTCTCTTTGCCTGGATTATTGACAGACATTGCTTTGGAAAAGGGCCCATTTTCCCTTCAGAATGGCTGCAAAGAAACCAAGAATTCTCTTCCTCTCACACTTTTCCTTTTTCTAAATATTTAGGGTTACCATATTTGAACTTTCAAAAAAGAGGACACTCTGGGGGGGGGGGGGTGTAGCCCCGCCCCCTAGCCACTCCCTCCCAATTCCCGCCCCCCTGACTGCCCCCCACAGAACCCCCAACCCATCCAACCCTCCCTGCTCCTTGTCCCCTGATCGCCCCTTCCCGGGACCCCTGCCCCTAATCACCCCCCGGGACCCCACCCCTTATCTAAGCCTCCCTTATCTTTGTCCCCAACTGCCCCCTCCTGAGACCCCCCCACCCTACCTGTCCCCTGACTGTTCTGACTCCTATCCACACCCCTGCCCCCGCCAGATCCCCGGGACTCCCACGCCTATCCAACCGCTGCCTGTTCCCTGACTGCCCCCCCAACCTCCAACCCATCTAACCCTCTCTGTCCCCTGACTGCCCCAATCCCTCTCCACACCCCTGCCCCCTGACAGGCCACCTGTAGCGGCACAAACAGCTCCTGCTCCCGTTTTGCTACCGGCGTGCTGAAGCTGCAGGGGAAGCGGGGGAGGGGCTTTTGCTGCCGGAGCGGCCCCAAGTGAGCGGCTCAATCCGGCGCGGCTGCCCTGTCAGCTGCTTTTGGGTCTTTAGATAGCCGTCCGGGGGGAAATCCCGGACATTTTTAGCTTTTTACAAATTCCCCCCGGACGGCTATTTAAAGACCCAAAAGCCGGACATGTCCGGGGAAACCCGGACGGATGGTAACCCTATAAATATTTTCACATCTATCAACTGTTCAATTCCCTCCAGCCTCTGCAGAGTGAACTTCTCACTCACTTCCTTAAATCACTCGCTTATCTCCCAAAATGACACCTTCATCAGCCCAGATATCACCCATTCATCCAGCCCAGACTTCTTTAACTTGCTGGCAAGAATACTGTGGGAGACCGTATCAAAAGCTTTGCTAAAGTCAAGGAATAACATCCACTGCTTTCCCCTCATCCACAGAGCCAGTTATCTCCTCAGAGAAGGCAATCAGGTTAGTCAGGCATGACTTGCCCTTGGTGAATCCATGCTGACTGTTCCTGATCACTTTCCTCTCCTCCAAGTGCTTCAGAATTGTTTCCTTGAGGACCTGCTCAATCTCTCTATCTCTTGCCTGCCTGCGTGTCTGGGCCTGATCCTGCTTCCCTCGCTGAACCGTCCCTTCCCATGGGCCCCGGCTTTGTCCCACTAAGCATTTAGCAAGGAGGGGGGGCTCCTCAGCTAGCCTCCACCACTCCTGGTCCCTTTTCTTCCTTCTCGTTCTCTCTTGTAGCTCTGGGGGGTCATTATGCCAGGTAGACAGCGACCCTTTCTGACAGACGGCACTGGGGTCAGGGCACCTGCCCCCACCTACCCAATCCTAACGCAGGTTTCAGAGTAGCAGCCGTGTTAGTCTGTATCCGCAAAAAGAACAGGAGTACTTGTGGCACCTTAGAGACTAACAAATTTATTTGAGCATAAGCTTTCGTGGGCTAAAACCCACTTCTTTGGATGCATAGAATGGAACATATATTGAGGAGATATATATACACATACAGAGAGCATGAACAGGTGGGAGTTGTTTACCAACTCTGAGAGGCCAATTAAGTAAGAGGAAAAACTTTTGAAGTGATAATCAAGATAGCCCAGTACAGACAGGTTGATAAGAAGTGTGAGAATACTTACATGGGGAGGTAGATTCAATGTTTGTAATGGCTCAGCCATTCCCAGTCTCTATTCAAGCCTAAATTGATTGTATCCTAACGCAGTGTAACAAAATCCTCTAACCAATCCCACCCCC